CGCACAAAATGTACTACGACAGAGCCATAATCACAGATAAAACAATTTACCACAACAGACCAGACATCACACTCATTGACAAGCACAATAAAATCACATACATTATAGACATAGCCATTCCAAACACTCACAATGTACAAAACACATGCACAGAAAAAATTAGCAAGTACACAGAACTCGCCCAGGAAGTAAGGCATCTGTGGAGGATGGAAAGGGTGCTTATTGTACCTGTTGTTCTCTCCTGTACAGGTGTGATACCACACACACTACACAAAAGCCTGGGAACATTACAATTGAGTAGAAATACATACATCACACTACAGAAGGCCACTATATTGAATACATGCCATATTGTTAGGAAATTCCTGAATACAGACACTGACACACTTATTTAATTTTTGTTTTTGGTTGCTAAGCCTTGACTCTGGTCCGGCATAGTACACAGCCACCGGTATGAACTGAGTATAACCCACTAAATCCAACATAATAATAATAATAGTATACAAACTCAGATATCAAATGAAACAGCAGAAATAAAATGCAAGAAACGAAAATGACGATGGCATGTTATGCAAATAGATATGAAAATCATCAAGCAGTCTACTAAAGATGTCTGGAAAGAATGGAGACTACCAGACTATACAATAGCTGGGATGATGTCTCCAAAGACCATTAGAAAATAGGAGTAAAAAATTAATAGAAAGAAATAAAGGTTATTGATAAGAGAGAGAGGATGAGCTGACTACAGTTTGATTGAATAAATAAATACTATAATTACAGAAATTAACATATCTTATTTTTTCTGAGGTTTACCTTCAGATATCTAATAAATTAATACCAGTGTCTACATTATATACACTAGTATATAATATATACCATATTTAAAATATGGTTGTAATGAAAAGTTATATTTGGATACATTTCTAAGAACTATAATTTATAATGTAATTTAATAAACTTAATATAAAACAGAAATTACAAGTATAATATCAATAACAAAAAAAAAGTCAAATTATTAAAATAGAAATACTTAAAATATTTTATCATTAATTTTGTAAATCTAATTTAATGAAGTATTAGATATTTCAATATTAACTAATTAATCAAAGAAATTGTTACAGATTATATAATAAACTGACAAAAAATATTTAAATATATCTTAAGTGATTTATTATATGTATGTATGTATAAATGTAGTAAGCACATTAATGAGAGTAACTTAAACTACTTACTTATTAATTTTTGGGCTATTATAACATAGGAAAGTATTGTAATCATGTCAAATTTGATCCTTCAAGTATTTTGCAAATCTCAATGTTTTGAGACCCCCCTGAAATCCAGAAAAGTCAAAAAGAGGAAGGGAAAAATTCTTTGCAAGTGTGTGTATTGGCATCTATTTGGTTTAATATCTCAAGATGGGATAAAGATTAAGAAACAAAATTTGGTGTGGTAACTTCAATATGAGGGGCATTGGTTTTCTCTGCTTATTATTGGCATTTAGAAAATTTTTAAAAACTTATCTTTACCCTCAAAATTAGCCTTTTAAAATATAAAAGTTAGATAGCACCATACACAATTTTAACTTTAGGCTAGTGTCATAGTCATAGACTTAAATATCTTTTTAAATGGAGATTTTTATCACAATTCAACAAAATTACTCATTTTAAGGTTTTGTAATTACTTAGCTTATTTTCTAGTATAATTGAAAATTATCAGACTTCCTAAAGGTACCCTTAATTTGATGTTCAAATGCTGGGAAAGTCAAGCAAGAGCCCTTTTTTTTGAAAGTTGTTTTATTTAGAAGCTACAAAAGATATTGAGTTTAATCATAATCTGAAATTTTTGAACTCAAGTAATATAATAATAATAACTGTTGTTTTTCAATTGTTAATCACAATTATAAATTTTATTATAAATCACATAATAATCATAATAGAAATATACTATTTATAGAATTCTATGGAATGATAGATAAGGTGAACAACTATTTTACAATGAAAAGGAGGACAAAAATAAATTGAAGGAAAAATATCGTAATAAAAGAAACATTTTATTCATTGCAACAATAATACACTATAATAATATCTACTGCATGTGTATGTGCCATGTAAAAGAAGTAAAGAAAGCCACTTCCACGCAGTGCGCTCTTTCAAAGTCTTTTGTGTGGAGCGCATGCGTCTCATAACCACATCTTGCTGCACTGTACCTTGATGAATCATCACGTTAAATACAAACACATACAACGGATCGACTTGGCATCGATCGAATATGGAGATTTACATATTAGTCTTCAAATATCGAAAAGGAGGACATGTAGGAGGACAGAACTTAAAAAAGGAGGACATTTGGTCATCTTAGTATGACAAATGGAAACAATACTATCTTAGCCACCTGAACAGCATCAAAGAATTTTACACTTCTGAAATCTATGTATTATGTTCTTGGTTTAAATTGGTTGGTTGATGGAATGCATTAGCATATTAAAGGTTACCTACCATAATTGGTCAAAATTTCTCACATTACAAAGAAGCTTGACCAGGATTAGCATATAGATGAAATTTAAATCTATACTCTCTTAGAAATAGACTGATATTTTTCTATGTGATCATATAGCTGACAATTATGTTATTAAATACCTATTTTTCTCTTAAAATTTTGGATGAAATTCAGTTAAATATAATCATTTATTGTTTATGTATTAAATAACAAGCAGTAGATTTCAAATAAATATCTAAAATGAAGTACAGGTAACCCCTGTATAACACGGTAGTTACGTTCCAAAAAATTGCCGTGTTATGCGAAACAAAGAACTAGTACGAAAAGGAGGGTTAGGTTCCAAAAATTAAAAAACATGCTACTATATTTTCATAATTAAGATAAATATCTTTATTAAAATTTTCTTAAGTGATACATATTAATATAAATTAAACAATGTTTTCTTTGTCATCACTAAAAGCACTATTAACCGAGAGC